GGTCCAAACTTGATCAAATGATACATATGAGTCTAAAATGTTGATTTGGATAAAAAATTATGAAGTTTGAATGTAAATTGGCCATAGTTGACTTTTTCCCCAATACAATTGATTTTTAGGTCAACTATTCAATTGACTGAGCAAAAATGTGATCCAAGGCTTGAAACTTGGCATGAGTAATCTTGGGGGTCCATAATGACTCATGAAAGTCATATGAGGTATTGAAAGTTCAAATTTCCTTGTGCAAACTCAAACCCTAATTTTGGTCATCAGTGCATAAGGAGGTGTTTTGAGCTGATCAAACCCTAGTGCAGTCTTAAGCCCAAGGAGATCTTGTGAGCAAATTCTTGGTAAGTGAGAGGGAAAATTTTGGGGTACAACAGAGTGCCTTTCTACTGAGACTGGAAGTCAACATGCTGTGCTTTTCATCTGGGCCTGGAAATCAGCATGGTGTGCCTTCTGGCTGCCTCTTTCATTTTGGCCTGGAGGTTAGTGTGGAAGCCAGAGGCTTCGTTTCCTACTTCTTATTTCCTGTTTCTTTCGTTTGAGTTTTGAACAGAAACATGGCCTAAGGCCATGCTAGCATCATCTTGGGGTCAGATTAGTTCTTAAAGCATGTTTAAATATACAATGAGCAAAAAACCAAGAAGGTTGTCAACCATGAAACATATTAAAAGGGTGGAAACGAAATGAAGACAATAATATGTACATGTTTGAAACAAAAAGGAAATTTATTTACATGATATACTAGAGACGAAGGATCCAAGGTTAAGAATGACTTACCTTGCTTGAGGCTGGGACGTGTGTTGGGCCTTTAAGTGGTTTCCTTGAGCGCTTCTGGATTCGAAGGGAGGGACTAGGGGTTAGGCCTTTGATACTGGATTCGAAAGAGAAGAACTAATGTGAGGTTCTTCCTGCTGGATTCGAAGGGAACAAGGTATAAGGATGCTTCAGATTCGAAGGGACAAGTGTTTGGATTCTGGGTTTGTGTTTTCACAAGTGTTTAAGTGTTTGAGAGCTTTATGGTGTTTGAGAAATTTGAAGATTCGTTCCTCTGGCCAAAAAGTCCTCTTTAAACATGTGTTGGAGCCTCTTATTTATAGGCAAGGCTTCCTGAAGCTTTTGGAGGGAAAACAAAAGATTTGAACAATTTGAGTAACCTGCTCTTTGTAGCTTTCGAGAGTCAGTCCCTTGTATACTATTTTGGTGCAAGAATGGGGCGGTGTTTCAGGACTGGTGTGCAGTAGTTTTGGCTAGTGTACCAGGCCTGAACTTGACAGCAAGCATCTTTTAATATTTCAACCTTTCATTTTGACCCTTCTTCGACCAGACTCTTCTCCCAACAATATTATTTGATTTTTCTCTCCAGCAAGTGCCTTTCGAATGAGTCACTTTTGTGCATCCTTCGAAGGAGCCAAAAGTGTGACCCTTGGATGGGTCACCAAAACATGCCTTAAAGTGGGATTTGTAAATCCTTCGAATGGACCAACAAGCATTTCCTTCGAATGGGATGCCCAGAGTTGGGTTCAAAAGATGCTTATTTGAAGGGAACCAAAGTTACAAACGAAACCTTGTGAAGGTGATCCTGTCCAGTCGAAGGCTTGGCTGCCAAAGGTCCATGTTGCCAAACGAATGAGTGTACGTAGGGGGTCCCTGCTTTGTGACTTCATGTAAACATGAAGGGAACCACATGCCCAAACGAAAGGTTTGACCAAAACCTTGTACTAAAGGACTCATATGCCCAAACGAAGAAAGCATGAAGGGAGTTAAATGCCCAAACGAAAGAGGCACGCTAGGCTTGCAAAGATGTCCAAACGAAAGAGAAATGCAGGAGGAAAATAATGTCCAGATTCGAAAGAGGCATACATGAGGCAAAAAGTGAAAATCGAAGGAGGCCAAAAGGGAGTCTTTTGCCTTGGAATCGAAGGAGACTATATGAGGCTTTATGCCTTGCGCATGCTAGCATGAGGGAAGCCTTTTTGCGCGCAAGAAAGAAGTTATGGCCCAAACGAAAGCTTGTGTGTGACTATTCATTACTTTATGAGTCAAGGCAAACATGGAGGAAAGTTTGTGCAAGCATCAAACATCCAAACGAAACAGGCATATAGACAGTCATGACATTGTGAACCCAGTAAGGCCAAAGGTGCAATCAAAGGTGGCATGCAGGAAGCTCCTGCCTTGTGAACCAAAACCAATGCGTCAGAGGCCCATGCTCAGTCGAAGGATGCAAGCCAAGCTTTCATCGAAAGAGGCCAAAAGGCAAATCTAAGGAGCTGAAACAAAATGACTTATTTTTCTCCAATTTTGTCAAAAGATTATTTTTATCTGTTTTCTCCCTTTTTGACAGTTTTCCTTTTAATCTTGGTACTGGAAAATCCAAATGTACATGTGCAAGCCTGAATCTTGAGAGTCTTTGTGAGAAATGCCTTGAAAAATGAGAGGGAAAATTTTGGGGTACAACAACTTCCCCTATTCAATCTTCTTACACCCGAAGAGTTAGATTGGCGAGTCTGCCATTCGTGACTTGAAGGTGGAAGATGATTGAACACTAGAGTACCCATAAATTTGCACTAGATGATGTGGTGGTTGGTTATGTAGGGAATGTGCTTACAGATGCCATTTGGAGAGATGACAGAGTGTTATCAGAGATGGGCTTATATATGCCAACCAAAGGTGATTATTGACAGAAATTAGACTAAGTCTAATCCTGACTTCAACTAGAAAAGTATCAGAATAAATCTTGGAGCGATTTATCTGAAACAACAGATGTAGTGGGATGAGTATCAGAATAATATCCATAAATGGATTGTATCTGACTTGTATCTGACTTGTATCAGAATAAAATATTTTACGTTTGTATTCTTTTTACTAATTTTTCCCCAACATGTAGAGATGTCGAAAGATACCCTATGTTGCATGATTTTAGAACTAAAATTCAGAAAATTAAAAAGCCCTAAAGTAAGTGTTACATGATGCATGTTGTTGATATTGAAATTTGAAGTTGTTGTTGTTGAAGATTGAATTTTGAATGTTGTTGTTGTTGAGATCAATGGTTTAAAGATTTAATGTTGTTGTTGTTGATTATCCTAATTGGCTTCAAATGTTATTCAAATTATAGGTGCTCAACGACCAGTTATAAATCACAGAAGATAACTTTTGGATGACCTACAAGAATGAGCATTTTGGTTATTGTTTTTGTTGGTTAATCATTTGTTTTAGTTTTGTTGTAACATTATAAAGTGTGTGCCATTTTAGCTTTGCAATTGATGCAAACAATGAATATTTTTTATACAATATTTCCGTTTGAGAATTTATATTTGTGAAATGGGTAAAAGGTACATTTATGTTTCAGAAATGGGGTAAAAAAGATTCTGTAATACAGGTTACAACGAAATTATAAAGAAAAATCAAATAACAATGATATCCCTTCAAGTAAAATTAAAAACCGGGGTAATACTACTACTTTATTACCTCTATTTTTCTTGTAACCGAGAGAAAATACACGGCATGCCATCCAGATCTGAAAATAATAAAAATGTAGTTGTTGGGAATCAAACCCATGACCATTAAGTCTTTCCCCTCAGTGGAACCTTGACCGAAGTAAAAAATGATGCACATTTCATATCGATCTTCGTTACCTCGCATACGAAATCGAGACTAACCTCCATTTCTAATCAAGGTAAAATGAGTTTTTTGCTGTATTGAAGACATCTCTCATATTAACACATGAAAAATCCTATTACATTCATATATCACATCAGTAAAATAAATGATGGAATTGACGTATTAAAGTGTGTATTTATTCACTCGGAGTTGAAAGAGTACCATTAATAATCTTAATGAAAACGGAGTGGTGGCACAAGTCAGGTTTCTTCAATTCAATGGGAAATTACAACCTTTAATGGAAGACTTGATATTATTTCAATATCTGGGACAATTCACTCACCTCCAAAACTGGATAAGGCATGAGGATTGAAATTTACTTATCAATCACTAAAGAAAATGTGTTACGGGGAGTATGATTCCCTCTCTGCTAACTTCAGGTCCTATGGTACTTACGACTACATCCTTTACAAAAACTACATTTGAAAAGTTTTCTTTGATGACCAATAATTGTATAAAACATGAACTTACATGCATCAATGCAACTGGGTATGCATGAGAAGGTGTTGATGGCTTGACCAATTGACATCTGAAATGAGAAACATGATGAGTTTCAACATCAATTATGTATGATTCTCTTTTGAGGGTCGTAGATCTTAATAAAATACCGATGAAATTAGCGATTTACATATTGATGTTCAATTATATCACACAAATAATATAATTATGGAGCAATGTTGCTCAATTTTAAAATATTTTATTTTATTTAAATAAATATTTTAGTGGGTGAAATTAAATTTATACATTAATATCCATCTTCATATTTAATGCTTTTATCCGCGTATGATCAACATCATAATTAACATCATGCTTGAAGAGAAGAGAACAGAGAGTTCGTGGAGCTCAAAATAAGTCTCTCTTCAACTCATTCAATAAAAATTTCTTTTATGAACTTAAACTTGATTCGTTTAAAGTTCAAGAACAACTCTCTTCAACTCATTAATTTAACTCGTTTTCTCCAATCACATAATTTAATACTCAATTTATTAAAAAGTTATATCTTTGACTTTATACATTTTTTTCAAAGACAAACAATAAATTAAAGTATATACTTAATAAATAAAAGTTAAAGTATACAATTTTATTAAAAAAAGAACATAAAAAGTTTTGAAAGAGTCTTTGATCATATTCATATAATTTCTTTTTCCCTTTTTCTTGTTGAGTGTATAGGGTCCCATTTTCTTGAGTTGACAGGTTTTTGTTTCTGGGTCTGCTTGATCTTTTCAAAAAGGTTCCAATTTTTGGTTCTTCACACGTTTTCGATCCTATAAATCATCCATTTTCGGTTTCTCTTCTCGTGTGTTTTTTCTCTCTGAAAACTCTTTCAGTTGCTTGTGATGTGGAGAGATCCAGGAGTTTCAGCTGATTCTTTCTATCAAACTCGCCCTGATTGCACCGATGTCCCCATTTCTCGATTCAAGATCAAGGTCTGGTTTTTATTCCAAAGTTTTGATTTTTGTTTCTGGGTTTGTTAGAATTGGTGTTGTTGGTCTTGTATGAGCAATGTAACTATGTTGAGCTTGTTGAGTTGATAAATGATGGGAATTTTTGTTCATTTTGTGGGAGAGATTGTGATTTTGGATCATTGATATGGTTTTGTTGGTGATGCTATTTTGATTTTAGTCTTTTAAGATAATTGATGAATTTCAGTTTCAGCTATGTCAAGTATCAATTTTTGTCAATGGAATTTGATTTGCAGACAGTGATTTAATTGCTTGATTGCTTCATTAGATAGTTGTAATAAATTGGGAATTAAATCTGAATATGCACTTGGTAATTTACCTTGGATCAATTTGACGATTTTATACCTTAATAGTAAATAATTAAAATCATTTGCGACGACTTGTAGATTTATTTGACTTTTCTGTCTGATATTGATTGTATGTTGTTCTTTTGTTTTTAACTTCTTGATTTTTATTACATGGTTCAGCCTGGTAAGACACTAAGTCCGAGAAAATGGCATGCTGCGTTTACTCAAGAAGGATATCTGGATATAGGCAAGACTTTGAGACGAATCTACCGAGGGGTATTTGCTCTTACTTGTCTCTCTTTTGCAATGTGTTCGATAGTGTGTGTTCATTAGTGAATCCTAGCTAGATGGAAAAATATGTATGGTCATTAACAATGTATGTGTCATGATGATCATATTATCGGTTTTCATACCCCTAAAGTTATAGAAGATTATGGCTTGCTTGTTTGTACAAGTTTAGAAAGACAGTAATTTATCCGTATATACGTTGTTGTTGGTTAACGATAAGAGAAGTTAAGAGAGATCTCGAGGTTAATGATTTGGATAGAAGTATGGTCCTGGATATAACATTATGCAGAAAGATCTTGAGGTTGTTGTTGTTATTGTTGTTGTATAGGTTGCTACTGGTTGGTGTTTAATTTGTTAATATTTTGAACCAGGGAGTCCATCCATCAATTAGGGGAGAAGTTTGGGAATTTCTACTTGGCTGCTACGACCCGAAGAGTACATTTGACGAAAGAGATCAAATAAGACAACGCCGAAGGTAGTCAGTTTTCCATTTCATAATTGTTCCAATGTTTTAAAAAAGCAAACAGAACATTGAATCAGTGAGACCTCTAAGTCATGGTTCGGTTTAATTTTTCAAATATTGAGTAATACTGTGTAACTTAAAACCCCGTTGTTTCTGAATTTTAGATCTAAGAAATCATTACTTAAATTTCACTTTTATGTTTATGATTTCAGGAGGCAATATGCTACATGGAAAGAAGAATGTCGGCAATTGTTTCCTCTTGTTGGAAGTGGTAGATTTATCACATCACCTGTAATTACTGATGATGGTCAGCCAATTCCAGATCCATTGGTTATGCCAGAAACCAATACAGCCAATGGATCAACTGCACTTCATCAAGATGATAACAGGCTTTCAAGTATAAATTCTGCAAATAATTTACAAAATGTGACAGACAAGAAACTAATCCAGTGGATGTTAACTCTCCATCAAATCGGTGTGTGAATTTTGTGTTGTGCAGTGTTATATTTCTGAAATTTTATGTTAGTTAATCTTTATGCATATATGTAACACATTTCAGGTCTTGATGTGGTTCGCACTGACAGGACAATGGTTTTTTACGAGAAGCAAGAAAACTTGTCAAAGCTATGGGATATTCTTGTAGTTTATGCTTGGATAGATAAAGAAGTTGGGTACGGTCAAGGTAGGTTTTTGCATGACTATTCCATTTAATCTTATACATTTGACCTCTGTTAAGAATCCTACATCAGACAATATATGGCCTGAACATGTGCTTACAAGTGGGGGCAATCCTCTCCCTATAAGCTGGTTTTGTAGGGATGAGTATGGCCTAAACCACATTTCTTAACATAGTATCAAGAGTTTGGTTACGTTTTTCTTGCAAACTTGCAACAAATAACAAAGTTCTAAACACTATATGCAACTTCTCTGAGCTTCCATTTTAACATTTCACAATTCTTAACAGGAATGAGTGACCTATGCTCCCCAATGATAATTCTTCTTGATGATGAAGCAGACGCATTTTGGTGCTTTGAGCGTCTGATGCGCAGACTTGTAAACATCTTATCTCTATGCTCTCTTTTATCTTTTATTTCTTTTTAGACCATTTATGACTTATGCTTGATGATACAAATTTTAATAATTTTTCATACATTCATCTTTTTCTCAATTTCTTATGATTTGTGTTCTTGAATTTTTCAAGCGAGGAAATTTCAGAAGCACTGGTCGCACTCTTGGGGTGGAGGCTCAACTAAGTAATTTGGCTTCAATTACTCAAGTCATTGATCCAAAACTTCATAAACATATAGGTATTTTATTGCATATGCATTTTCCTATTTATTATTTTATGGTCAAATATGAAATAGAATTTTCTAACTCGAATTGGATGGATTTTTTGTGATTGTTGTTTTAAGATATGATGCTTGCAAGAAATCATATAGTTTTTTTTGCGATTTACAGTTGAATAAAACTCACGCTATTTTATGTTTAAGAAATGGAAAGTAACGTGTTGTGTTTTAATTTTGGAGCGCAGAACATATTGGTGGAGGTGACTATGTGTTTGCTTTTCGGATGCTAATGGTTCTGTTTCGTCGAGAATTTTCCTTTTGCGATTCATTGTATCTATGGGAGGTGTGTTTGGCTTCTTTTGTTCATTTTGTGGTGTGTATGTGTGCGCGCGTGGTGATTTGTTTCCCAACAAAAACAATTTATGGGATACCGATGCCGCAATTTTTCTGAGAATCTTTGTAAAATAATGACTTTAATAGCTTCAAATTTTTAACAGATGATGTGGGCTCTGGAATATGATCCTCACATGTTCATGATGTATGAAGAAGCTCAAACAGCTTCTGAAAAAGCTGAGAGAGTCAAAGGAAAAGCAAAGTCAATCCGACAATGTGGAAAATATGAGAGGGAAAATTTGAAAAATGGAGCAAAGAATACCGAAACTCCTCTTCCTATATCAGTTTTCCTTGTTGCCAGTGTGTTGAAAGATAAAAGTACAACACTACTCCATGAAGCGCGAGGCTTGGACGATGTTGTCAAGGTTAGTCACGCGGTCAACTGTAAATTGCATTGAATTAGATGTAGCTGTTAAATTGTTTCTCCGCTTCTCTGATATTTTGCATATGAGTTTCCGCAGATATTGAATGACACAACAGGAAATCTAGATGCCAAAAAGGCTTGTATTGAGGCTATGAAGCTTCACAAAAAGTATTTGAAAAAGGTAACGCTTTCGTTTTAGGGGTGGCAAAACGGGCTGTACGCCCCGCTCCGTCGTAAGCCCGCTAAAAAATGAGCGGGGCGCTAAAAAAAGAGCGGTGGATTGCCCGCCTACTTTTTTATTTATTTATTTTCATTTTTTTTTAATATATTAAAATGCTTCTTTTTATATTTCAATTAAATTTTTCACTTATTTCTTAGAACAAATTTTTATAAAACATTTTTTAACAAAATTTACTTAAATAAATATTGCATATATTCACAAATAAATGTATAAAATAAAATCATCAAGAATTAGATCTATTAGAATTAACTAAGAAAAGGTGGGCTTAAGGTGGGAGAAGTTGAACGAATAGGCGTGACGGACTTTGGCGGGCGGAGCGAGCTTTGGTGGATGACGGGTTCAAAATCCCACCCCAACCCGCCATTTTTTGGCGGGTGCGTAGGCCGGCCCGGCGAGCCATAACCTATTTTGCCACCGCTTCGATACGTCATAACCTCCCTCCAATATTTTTAATGCAAATTCTTAGACTTGTTATATACATAAACCTTTAAGGAAAAAATGTTAATTAGCATTTAAGGTCACTAATTAAGAATTCACTAACAAGCAAAAAAAAATCTAATGTTTAAATTTATTTTAACTGCTGCAGGCCAAGAAAGCTTAGCACCAAAGAATTATTTTCTCCATTTGGAACGATTAAATGATGCAATGCTTCTTGCATGCTGTCAATGTTATTCCTTGGGAGACAATAATGGAGTCATTCAAAGTTCGACCGTGATTTGCAGAATTGATTAAAGGATTCGATTAAATTCCCTGTTGTATGTTATTCATTTAATTTCTATTATCTTGTTCCGTATAAAAAAAAAGCAAGTGAAATTGTGTATGAAAATATAATTTTGTACAAACATTGTTGTAATTTGTACCATATTTGTAATTGTATTGGTTTATAAAAGGCGGAAATATTATGGTTGAAACTCTTAGAAGCATTAGTCCCCTCTTCGTCCAAAATTTCGAATTCAAATCGCATGTGAAAATCAGAGACAGATAAAAATGAGAAAGTTAAGCTATCAACTTAAACTAATAATAGATACACAAAAAGGCCATCTACTTTATAATATGAACTAGATATGTACTGAACTTTTTAAAGTTCCACTCAATCTTGTTTCAGATCATATATACTGTTATGTATTTTTACACAGAAAGATGCATCACTCATTATGTGATTTGTTATAGGCACACACACACCGTCTTGATGATGAGACGCGAAATGCAGTTCTTACCAAAGCCTCAGTTGCCAACCGATGACGACGAAAACTCAGAAAAAGTGATCTGTCGTGAGCAAGAATGTCATAAATGCTGTGAAAATGACTACGATGATGCTGATAGAAGATTTATGTCCTGAACCTTTAGCAGGTCTATGTGGAGGAAGTGCACATTCCATTCCATTGAAGTACACCTTAGAAGGAAAAGCGTCGCGCACGACGTTGAATTCTTTAGTGTATTTCTTATGAAAAGAAACCACAGATTGTTGTTTCCCTGGCACTCTTGGATCTTTAGTACGAGTTCCATTAGTTTCTCCGGCTAAGTAATTCAAACCTTTAAGTCCTTGAAAGAAAAGGGTTTTGATACCGGGAATTCTCGTCCCATTAAATGAATAAACATCTTGAAAATCTTCGAAAGACCTGTCGAACTTAAGCGCGGCGAACCAATCTTCGAAGCCGAAATTCTCCCAATTGAAAATCGTTATCCTAGCTGTCCATCCCTCCTTATGATCTGAACTTACATGCCAGTTAATACTAACAGGACAATGATCTCCACAAGGTAACTTACTTGGAACGCGCATGTGTTTGAGTTTCGCCCAAGCGCGTGCCTTTAACGTTCGATTCTCAAAAGGGACGAGAAGTGCGTCGGGTGGAAGAAGTAAAGGCGAAGCATTAGGATTACATTTCCTTGTATCGTCACAACCACCGCAAGCACATGTGTTACAAGGGATAGCAGATTCATTATAGAAAGCCGAGAACGAAACGCAACAACGATTTTCTTTCGGCTTCGGTTTCGTAATGTTGCAAACTATCTGCCAACTAGCAACAGCTGTTGAAATGGCTGTAAGTCCACTAGGATCAGGAAATTCTTGTGCATCAACCCTAATTGGTGGTCCACATTTGTATTTAGGGTTAATAACACCATCAATGTGCCATTTTATTGGTGGTGTAAGTGCTGTTCTGTTATCATCAGGTGGCGATTTGAAAACTTGTAACTGAAAAATTGATCTTGCCTTGTTCTTATCCATAAGAGGTGGTAAAACAGTACCATTCCTACAACACCAAGGTACTTTACCAACTTTTTCATCTTCTGCTCTTTCAGTCGGAAGATCGGAGAGAATAGGTTTCTTTTGACAGTTTGCAACTGTTGAGAAATCTAAGTCACCGTAGTATCTTCCGGCCGGACCGTATAAACATTCAGAAGGGTCTTTTATCCGAGCATAAGCACCTTTTAGAGTGTTAATGAATTCTCCTTTTTGCCATTCCCATGTTATGTTCCAATGATCAAGACGGCCTAATGGATGATTGTTGTCTATGGTTACTTGCGCGTAGTAGCTGGTATGAAAGGCTTGAAGAACATCGTACGCTATGGTTAGATCGCCATAGCGACGGGGAAGGAACTTTGTTTTCTTTTTTAGGCTAGCTTTAACTTTTGGGTCCTTTTTGCAGCATACAAACATTCTTGAACCTACAAAATGATCCATATCATGAATTAAATTTTAACCGATTTTATTTACGTTTCAGCCAAATATAGACGTGCATGCATGCATGCAAGAAGAGATGACAATAAGATAAAAATACCTCTGCGACCAGGTTGAGGGCATTTGAAGCCATCATTCATAAGCTTAATAGTTTTAGGCATAGGAGAAGCACCTGCACCAAGTCCAAACTGAGTTCCACTCATTTTAACCCTAACAGCCATTTGATTATAATCACCAGCTGTTTCTATGGCAGTTTTCAAATCTGTCATAGGATTTCCAGCAATTGTAGTACCATTCCCTACCTCGGCCGGAAAATCCTCCGAGTCAACCGGAACAGCTCCATCCGCCGAAACAAGAATCTCCCTATGCTGAAACCCAATATACATCTTCCAATCTCTCAGTTCCTCATCTCCAACATTCATCAACGAAACTTCGGCTTTAAACGCCCACGCTTGTTTCGTAACGTTCTTCACGTGCGGATATTCCTTCTCCCTTCCAGTTAAAGCATACGTTAGAAATATTCCGTCACAGTTGTCGAGTTCAGCAACGGGCGGTGGCGGTGTTGCAACGTCATCTTGTCCATCACAGATATCAAAACCGGACAACACAAACAACAATGAGAATATTAAGATATATGTCTTTTTGTACGAGGAAGTCTTAGCTTCCTTAATAAATTTCATGCTTTGTCTTCTTTTAAACAAAACCTCTTTTTTTTTCTTTTTTCTTTTCTTTCTTTTGTATGGTGTGAAAAAAAAGGTTACGGCCGCGGTAATACGCCGCGGCTGAAGAAGAAGGAACAATAGGGTGAAGAGAAGGTTATGTTGTGTTTTATTATGAGGGAAAATTGGAAGAGAAAGGTGAAGGTGAAAGCTATGTTCCACTAGTTTTAGCGTTTGTTTCGGAGGGACAGGTAAATATGTGTGCTATATTTGGAGATTGTGTTTTTAAGGTTGTTTGTATTAATAATGTAATTTGTTTTTAGTCGTTGTAAAGAAACAAACAAATGAAAGGAAAGAAAAGAAAGTTAGTAATGAATGAACTCTTGTTACTTTTATGTGAACTTTCATACTAAATTATGATGAGTTTTAGTTTGAACCAATAACTATTTTTCCTCGAGAAATAAGGTTTTTGTGTATTAGTTAATTAAGCTAAATTTAGTAAGTTGGTTGTTCATGAAGGAATAGAATAAGGTTTTGTTTTTATAATTAAACAAAATATATTTGATTATATTGATTTTAATAAAATTTCTCAAAAATGATAATATCTATTTTTTATGAAAGGAATTTAGTAAAATATATCTTTTTAATAAATATCTTATTAATCTAGTAAAGTTTACATTTCTAAATACATATCTTAATTTTTTTTAGGATGCATCTTGGTCGTACCTGACCAGAATGAATTGTCAAAGCCTACGAGCTGTGAGTTGAGCAATAATTAGAAGCCAGTTGGGGGAGGAGGTACCTACAAGACACTCTAATGCCAAAGTAAGGTTCAGAGCAGTGCGAGCAAGTATGAGAGTGACTATGAAAGAATGAATACCTGACCCTCTCAAGTGAGAAGATATTTATAGCCCCAATGCTGGATCAAGATCCCCATCGTTGGGCTGGGCAAGCAGACCCAAAATGGAGACTGCCAGGTCCTACGTGCGTAATGGGGCCAATACGTGGTCCCCAACCTGGATGGACTCCCTCGAATAGTTAGGAGGATATGGATGCGGTCTTTTCGGAACCAAGAGGACTCCATGATATTCAGGGGTGTGTTTAGTCAATCCAACGAGGGGGATGTTCGCGATGTACTTCTGTCGTCGTAGGGCTTCCCTCCAGCTGTGAGGTCGTCCGGAAGGGCTTATCTTGGTCGACGAGAAGAGTGTAGGATGCTCGCGAGGTCCTCCTGACTGGCGACGAGACTCCTCACGACTCCTGGACTTAATCTCGTACGACGAAGCCGCATTTTCCAGAAGGGTGAGGTTGCTGCCCGATATAGTTGAGGGAAGGCTCGGTCAACAGGCCTCCTCAAGCAGCATAGTTGGATTGAGTCTCGTATGAAGTTGGGCCAAGTGCATGCCTAGTCTAGAACAAGAGCCCCCCAAGTTGTTGCTCTTGATGAAGGAGTTATGACTTAAGTCCAACTTCTCCTTACGACAAGCATAATTTCGCGGGGGATCTTCTACTGCATCGAGGGAGAGGGTCAGGATGCGCGGTTACTCGAGAAGAAGTTGGAATTGGCTTGATGAGGAACATTTCAGTTGTTCCTCGACTCGCGGGGAGAGGAAGCCATGCAGGGTGTGGGCACGTGGTGTGATCTTTGAGATAGTAATGGTGGCATAGGGAGTAGGGGTCATTATTACCTGAGCGCATAGGTGGCGAGGAGAAGGGTGGTCGATGGTCTGCCCAACGCGATGCTTCGTATTCCACGTCAACCCTATATATAGTACCTTGGGGCCCATTCCCCACATTTCAACTTTCGCTCTCTCCACTTTCTCTGTCGCCAGTATCGTTTCTCTATCTTCCCACCATCAACGCCGATGTAAGACCCGCCGCGGATTCTCCACCTTCTATGATCAAGTAAGTGTTTTTTGTACTGAATGTTGTTTACGATTGGCTTTATTGATGATTCTTTATAGAATTTCGTTACCGGGGGGTTTTTGCTCGGGGTGTTCATACATTCATGCATAACATTTGTGAGTGGGATCGTGATATCCGTTTCTTCTCCGCAAAATTCATAAAAATACCCATGACGTTCATTTGTTCCCCGCGAAGTTCGTGAATTCTGCTCGGGGAATTCATATACTCTCCGGTTAATTCATGAATTTATCCGGAAAATTTGTATGTTCCTCGCAGCATTCATAGAGATGCTCGTGATATTTATCTGTGCCCGCGTTACCCATGTAATATGCGTTTTGTTATTATCATTGCTGTGCA